ACTAATAACTCAGATGCTGCTGCACGCGCTCAACGTAATGTGCTACGGGATTATTTTGTAACCAGGATAGGAGAAGCTCAAGTCGTGTGGCAATATCAGCGAGCTTTCAAAGGCTGCAACATTAATCTTCCTGACCTTCATTAAATTTCTGTAAAAAAGTAATTAAAACAGGAATATATTGTGAAATTAAAGGATAAAATCTGAAATGAAAAACAAATAACAACCACTTTTATGTCATCTGCATAGATTTATTTATATTCTTCAAATACAACTTATAAGGCAATAAGAACACACTAAGAACTTTGAATAATAACGTTTCATATTTCAATTATATATAATATTAAAGTTTTATGTATAGTGAATAATACTGGCAAGTAATACTATATTTAGATTTTTATAGTTTGAGTCAAAATAAAAATGAGTTATGTGAATAAAAAAAATTAAAATTTGTGTTGCTTGTATTAGAGTTCCTGTAGTAAGAGTCTGAACAGTTCATTATCGCTGCACTGCTGCACTAATGCAATTAACTGACTGCATTAGTTCAACAGTACAGCGATAACGAACAGATGACGCCATGTTTTGTCGAACTCTGTCCAGACTCTTACTATAGGGACTCTGGCTTGTATCAATAAAATAAAAAATTATAATTATTTTTCTTATCATAAATTTTATATCAAACAAAACAAAAATATTCTACTTATATTCTTTGGCATAGCACTTTTATGAGAACATTGCACAAAAAGAAAAAGTGTTTATTCAGAAACATTTGATGAATATTTGTCTATTATTACCATAATATCACTCAAACATTTAATCTTCATATTTGAAGGAACTTTCTTAAGAAAACTTTTAATTAAAATTATGGCAGAATCCTCTTCAGTGGACAGAGTACGCTCAGGCGTAAAATTAATACCGATAGTATCACAGACAGAATTTATTTTTGCTGCGGTGTTTTTGATTATGCTATGTACTTGTTCTACCGCAGCCTTTTTTTTAGTGAAAAAGGAATCAGGTGGGGGAACAGTGGGCGATTGACTGCCACAAGTCGACATACTCGATGAGTGTACTGAAGGTACATCGTCAAATGATTCAACTACTGCTGAGTTTGATTTTTTAAAAGTATCTTCAACCTGTGCATTCCACTGGTAGACATTCTTTTCTATCATTTGATTTTCTCTTCCATCTTGATTGATTTCCTCTTCCACTCGGATTTTTTCTATTATTTCAGTTTCTTCTATCACTTGGCTTTCTTCTGTTAGTTGAACTTCCTCTATTACTTGTAATTGATTACTTCTCCACATCACCTCTTCAGTATTTTTAGGAGTGCGCGTGATAGATGACGGAATGACGATTTCAAAAGGACTATCATTGATTTGAGTGTCTCTGCATAACTTTAATTTCTTTTTATTAATGTTTGATTGCGTTCTGCAAAGATAAATGATGTCAAGAAAACTTGGATACATGATTAAACCAAATCAAGTCAATAATGTGAATAGACTTACTTTCTGGGTTTGATGACATCTTTGAGAAATAACATTTCATTGAAAAGGGGCCACGTTGGCTTGTAAGACAGTTCATCGCTTCCAGCAACAGAACGGGGTTGACTGGCAGTCACCTTGCGCGTTTCTCTTGAGAATTGATCTCGGAGACTCTTCCATCGAGTTGAAACAGCATCACCTACATAAGATGTATTGTTTATATTAATATTAACCGTAGAGTGGTTGAGCACTAATATATACATAACCTCATAGATACATAACCTCATCAATAAATCATTAGGCAGTAGTTACACTGTATACATAAGGATAAAAGAGTAGGACCTAGAAATATATGATTCTTAACAAATATTCCCTTACCTGTCAGTGGCTTTGACAACAAAGAACCAATCTGTGAAAACGCTTGACTGATGATATCCCTGTCCTTTTTATTCAGTTTAATACACTTCTGCCACAACAGGGGGTTTGCACGAACAAAGGATATTATTTCCTTGTCTGCACTAACAATAAGATCCTCAGCTTCCATTTCTACGTTGTTTACCTCAACCCAAGACATCAGTAAGAAAATTCACTACCGGATCAGCTAGACATTCGGTAGACATGGTAACGCCAACGTACTATGATTGGCTGATCTCATGCGACACGCTTGTCGCAGTCGCAGAAAGTTGAAGTTGGTTCAACTCCGTGCGACAGGGGCTTCTGCGACTGCGACAGCCTTACGACCGGAAAAAATAACTTACGACATTCTCGTACGACATGCGACACAACCTGTGCGACTATTGTAGACGAGGCTTTAGACCGCCGAGACAAAGGAGCACCGAGCGACCAAGGTTGCTTCTGTTGACGCCTTTCTTAAGGTCTATCTACATAAGATGCAGGACGCGGGTCGCAAGTCGCAGAACGCGGAACGCAAGTCGCAGGTCGTAAGACTTTTGCGTTTATATAGTCCACATAGATACGCAGCGAGCTCTCTGCGTCAAAAGCAAAATGAATAAAATCAATCAGTCAATCAGAACATAAATGTCATAACTTCTCTTTTAGAAGCAACGACTATCATTAAGAATTGTGAAAGAAATATATAACATGAATACAAGGAGACGCAAGTTATTATTGCTGTGTGCAAGTTTAAATTATCTGTCTGCCGAGTTATTACAATTTATTAAATTAAATCGTTCCACAAGAAGATGGTGGGTTCGACCAATAAATCGTCCACGTGATGATTTTGGTCATTTCCATAATCTGTTTTCTTATATGAAAGAAGAAGATCATGAAGAATTCTTCGAATTTACGAGAATGGTACCAAGTCAATTTAATAAGTTGTGTGATATGGTGCGTCCTTTCCTTTTAAAAAGATCTATTCGCCCCAGTCTGTCCGTTGAATTGCGTGTGGCCGTGACTTTATCGTAAGTGATGCATTGTGTTTCTTATTATTGATTATATACTACGAGAGGGAGAGAAAGAGAGAGAGAAGTATTCTGACATAGACTTCTTATTCATATGACAGATATCTTGCCCATGGTTCTAGCCTGCGAATTCAAGCATGGGATTTTCGTATTGGGCGTTCAACTATTTATAAAATAGTTCCTGAAGTTTGTAATGTTATTTGGCAAGCTCTTCAGTCAACTTATTTACCAGCACTGAGGAAAAATCAATGGGAACATGTGGCTAAAGAATACGAAGAGATGTGGCAGTTTCCAAATTTACTTGGTGCTGTTGACGGCAAACATATTCGGATTAAAGCACCCATAAATTCTGGATCTTTATATTTTAATTACAAGAAATATTTTAGCATAGTCCTTCTCGCTGCTTGTGATGCCAAATATCGTTTCACATGGGTAGATATTGGACAATATGGTGAGAAAATAATAAAATACATATTAATATTTGGTTAATTTTTTTATATTTATAACACAATTGTAATGTCTCGGAGGACGGTGATAAGAGAATACATGCACTGAATTAAGATACTATGAGAGGAAAGTCACCAATACTGGTATAAGCTATCGTGGCAAAAGCTATCCTGGCAAAAGCTATCGCGTTTGAACAATAATTAAGACAAAACCATGATATGATTTTATATATTTATTATAATTGTCTATTTTATATTAAGGGGAGAAAACTAAGTAGAAGCACGAAAATAAGCGATTTTTGAACAATTTTTTTAGAGGTAATAAAATAATCGCATCAATTTCAACTTTTGGCATACTTTAATTATAGGTGTCAAGTACTAAAAAAAATTTTTTTTACAAAAGAAAATGGCGGCGTTACAGGCTTCACAATATGGCATCTTTTGCGCGAGGTGGAAAAAGGCTGCCATCGTCACGTTTTTTGTAGCGGTCTGAAACAAAAAAACCAAAAATTTTTCGATTACTTATGAGTTTAGGCGAAGGATATACCTATAAGATTATAAAAAAGTGCAAAATTAAAAATTTGGTAGGCATTAATCAAAAAATTCAAATTTTCGATACTATCGAATTTTTTTATTAATGCCTACCAAATT